CACATAAATAACAAAGGCCCATTTCAGCAAATTTGCTCAATCTCAATCTAAAAATAGATTAAACCTAACCCATAGAAATGTTAAAACATCAATGACAGTTTAGACATTATAGTATTGGCTAAATCTAGTTTTAGTTAAATAGAGATTTAGTAAGTGGACCTATAAATAGTTAAGACGAAACTACTTTTTACTATGCAATTTCGCTTCTATCATTTTGACCCAGGTTTCAAATTGTTCGTTATCAGCCGGCGACAGTTCATCACAAAATTTATCAATGTCTTCATCTTTCACCGTTTCCTCATTGTCAAATTCGTTCTGTAGCGCATTTTGTTTACTGGTATGGCCGTGAGTACTTGCAACTGCATGTGGCACATCATCTATAAACACTGTTTTCTTCGACTTCTTAACTTTTTTATCTTCATTTAAACTTACTTTATTAGGTTTATCAATAACAGATATATCAGATTCGAGTTCCTTATATTGCAAATTAGTTTTGGTGTCACTTTCAACCTTATCTTGGGTCATATCTGGGATTTCTTTCTTTATTTTTTTACGAATCTTTTTTTTAAGTTTTATATCAGCATCATCCTTGATTTTCTCAAGACATTTTTCTTCACATAATTTCTGTTTTTCATCAACTTCATTAGCAGACTTTCGGTTCCTTTTTCCCATAATTCTGGAAATAAAATTAATTTTAAGTGCACATTTTTATATATATCAATATTTTTGACAGCTGTTAGAGAGGTGGACTGCGTTCCCATAATAAATAAAATCACAGTAAATTATATTGATCTGTCCCAAAGTAATTTATAGTTACAAGAAAACACAACAATGAATGTAACAAAAGTACCTACTTAGAGAAAAGTAAGTTTTTCTACATTGACTCAGCCACTCAATCAAGCAGTGCTAGTTTAGAGTATTATGCCTTTTTCTAATCATTACTTTTAGTTTAATCTAGTGATGTGCCGGATCGTCAAAAATGTAGATCCGCGGATACGGATCTGAATACAGATATTTGGTGTCAAGATCCGCAGATACGGATCTTAAGTTAAGAATATATGTCAAAAAAAAAGATTACCAAGAGATCAAGACCAACTAAAGTATTGGCAAATTAACAGTAAAAAGTTTGGAGGTCTTAGTCACATTGCTCGCACATATTTATCATCACCTGCAACAAGTATTGCAAGTGAGCAATTTTTTAGTGCAGTAGGAATTAATTATGATCCTCGTCGTAACAGACTTTTGGGGGACAAAGCTGCCAAGTTACTCTTTTTGAAGTATAATTTACCACTACTAAATTTCAATTATGACTTATAATTTTTTTAAGTTCCTCTAATTGTCATTGTGATTTTTATCTAACATTAACACTGTATGTGTCACGCAGTACTAGTTTACTTGATTAAAAAATTATTTAATTCGAATTTAAAATATTACGAAGATCTAAGTTTTGTTTCCTTAATAAAAAGTGATCTTATAACTTTTTATAATATTGATCTCATTAAAAAGCTAGTTGATTTAGTACCTTGTAGTTATATACTATTGGTATGATAACTAACTACGGCAAAGTTTGCAACATAAAGGAGCCAAATTTTGATTTAAGAAATAAAAGATTATCTGTATTGAATTTAATAGTTTTTTATTGCTACCTAATCACCTATTTAAGGCTCTTACTCTTTGTAAGGCGCACTAGCGACGCCAATTGCTTTAAATTGTTAGCTACTAACCAGATCTATTTCATAATTGTAAATCGTCAGAATCTCGGAAATTGGCGTCGCTAGTGCGCCTTACCCTTCACCTTAAAGAATCTTATCTAGAAATTTAAAATTAATAAGGTAAATAGATCCGTAAAAGATCCCCCAAAAAGTAACGGATACGGATCTTTCTTCTGCCTCGGATATCCGCGGATACGAATACGGATATTCGGCACATCACTAGTTTAATCACTTTAATTGCTTAACTGATATTATGAGGTAAAAATAATTGGTCATAATTCTAATCATCATAGAAATACATTTCTTGTCCAGAAAAAGGTCCAAATCTCGATTCTTTTTTATTCTATTACTTTGTTGTGGAATAATCAACAGTTCATTAGATTTAGTGACTTTTTATTACAACAACCAGAGGTGAACAAGTATCTCTTAAGTCGCACAAGTTAAATTTGTCCTGTTATACTGGTGAGTTTTACTACCTATTATTATCCACAATTGATATATCTCTTCTATCATTAATATGAGAAACATTAACTTGCTCCCTCCTTCTGTCTCACCATTAGCTTGCAAAACCCTCCACTAGGTCAGTCTCATATTTTAAGAACCTAAGCAGTTGCCTCAATGAGGTTTTGTTAGAAACTAAACCGAAATGAAATGTAACGGCTCCACCCTTATTAATACCTAAACCCTCCAAAAATACCTAAGTATTAGACATTAACATAAGACAGTGTGCATGTTATGTTTGCACATTTTTATCGGGTTAATCGAATTAAAGTTATATTTTTATACTCAGTACTTTTACAGAAAGTTTGTTCGGGATACAATAAACATTAAAGTGCTGAAAATTCTATATTGTTCTTTGGTGCGAAGTATTCTCGAGTACGGTTCTCAAGTTTGGAACCCCTGTTATAGTGCTCACATTGACAGACTTGAATCAGTCCAGCGGATATTCTTAAGATACCTACAGTACAAGAGAAGGACTTATGATTTTAACTACGAGGAAAGGTGCCGTAGGCAGTAGGCACCACATTCTGCCTCGGAGTAAGCGAAGAAAAATAGCGGATTTAGAGTGTATTCCGTAATATATACCAGTATACTGGCCAGTGCTAATGACGTCATGAATCGACGCTATACTGGTGAATTGTTCCGAAATATACTGGCCAGTGAACTGACGTCATAAATCTACAAAATATTAAAAACTAGTGGCGCGCCCTCGCTTCGCTTCGGTGTAAAGCTGTAGTGTAGACTATAGTTTTTGTTCTCAGGCTTGTATTATACACAATGACATTCTTCTAATACCCAATTACAATAGGCACGCGCCGCCAAGCCCGGTAGCGTCGGAACCGCTATGTCCCTGAATTTTAAATTTGTAATATCTTCAAAAATATTCATTTAAATTATATGCATTAAAGGGCCAAATTGTTCTATATTAAATGCACAATGTATTTAAGGTACTTAATTGGATAAGGATGAATGTTATATTGCTTAAAATCGCTTCGTAAATAATCTATTATTTCTCGTAAAAAGTATAGGATAAAAATTGGTTATTGTGGGTTATCCTTAAGAGATAGACATATACCATCGCGGACTTTTTTGAAGACCTTTTTAAGGTGTACAATACTGTAGTACATTATTTTGATCTATCTCGTGGGGTTCAGCCAGCGTTTGCAATGTAAGCGCAAAAAATGTGTTTATTTACGACCTTACATTAAAAACCTCTAAAATTATCAGTGTTTCGCTACTATATTATGCATGTATTATACATATAAACCTTCCTCTTGAATCACTCTATCTATTAAAAAAAACCGCATCAAAATCCGTTGCGTAGTTTCAAAGATTTAAGCATACAAAGGGACATAGGGACAGAGAAAGCGACTTTGTTTTATACTATGTAGTGATAGTGCGAATAAAGAAGATTTTTTATTCCCCTCATCAATTAAAAGGAATTCTTTTTGTTTTCGGATGCCATTATTGTTCTTTAAATAAAAAAGAAATAAAATTCGAATGCATCTCACGCACGCTCGGTTAAACGTCATATTCGTTTTCCCGGTAAAAATATGGTAGCATACCTGTACCACGGTAATAATATATATTACCGTGCCTGTACATTATAGTACAGTCAATCTGTCGAAAAAAATATCGTTTCAGTGAAAAAAAAAACCTAAAGGGTAAGTCTTGTTTTTTCTGTTGCCAAATGACGTCAGTAAGCCACCTTGGCGATGGGCATGTTCAACTCGTAGGCGTTTTTTGAAAAACTCAAAAAAACCGTCAAAATTTTTTTGAAACGCATTTTTCTTGTTTTGTATGCATTTTAGAAACTTTTTTTTCGACCATAATTGTAGAGGGTGTTCAGTGCTACAATTTATGTCATTGTTGCAATCTCGTACAACAAAAAATGCGCATTGTAGGTGGCGCTAAAGTCTCAAAAAAGTGTTTTTTCACTTTTTCACCCTGAAAATATCATTTTAATGGAAAACTTTAAATGGCAAAGTTGTTTCTTACATAATTACCAACAACTTTTGTATAAACAATTTTTTTGTATTACTTACCGTTTTCAAGTTATAAATTGCGCAGGTATGAAAAATCCAATAGAGCGGTTTTGGGCAGTTCACGTACACATTTGCAGTGCACATTTCAATGGACGTTTTACTATTTTTTATATTTTTTCATGATTGAAAAACAAAAAAAAATGAAAAAAAAATAGTTTTATTTTTATTTTTTTTCATGATTGAAAAAAAAAATAGTAAAAACGTACATTGAAATGTGCACTGCAAATGTGTACTTGAACTGCCCAAAACCGCTCTATTGGATTTTTCATACCTGCGCAATTTATAACTTGAAAACGGTAAGTAATACAAAAAAATTGTTGATACAAAAGTTGTTGGTAATTATGTACGAAACAACTTTGCCATTTAAAGTTTTCCATTAAAATGATATTTTCAGGGTGAAAAAGTGAAAAAACACTTTTTTGAGACTTCAGCGCCACCTACAATGCGCATTTTTTGTTGTACGAGATTGCAACATTGACATAAATTGTAGTACTCAACGCCCTCTACAATTATGGTAAAAAAAAAAGTTTCTAAAATGCATACAAAATAAGAAAAATGCGTTTCAAAAAAGTTTTGACGGTTTTTTTGAGTTTTTAAAAAAACGCCTACGAGTTAACCATGCCCATCGCCAAGGTGGCTTACTGACGTCATTTGGCAACAGAAAAAACAAGACTTACCCTTTAGGTTTTTTTTTCAACCCTCAACCTACAGATTGACTGTACTATTATGGCGTCGGATTCGTGACGTCATTAGCACTGGCCAGTAAACTGGTATATATTACTGAATACAGCCAGTACTACACTGGCTAAAATCGCTCAAAAGTCTCATTGGCTCGCCAGATTCACTTTTTAAAAATTAGTATAAAACTCCCTTACAAAGCCGTTAGACGATTTGTACATTTAAACGTTCCCCTATGTTGTACTTATTACAGACAAAACACTTTTTTCGTAAGGTCCGCAAAGGAGATTAATAAACTAATCATATTCCCCCAACTTGACTTATTTTTAACTAAAGCACACATATTTAAAAACACTTTACATAGTTCTTCAAACTGCTTAGCTAAACTAATGGATACTAAAAGCGTTGCTAACTACTGTATTTTAATTGTTCTTAGTCTTATTACTTTCCTGTATTGTTTCAGCTATGGGCTTTTTAATGTTAGTCATATGCGAAAACGTGTTAATGGTGTTTAGTTTTATAATTAGTTATAATTGTTGCCAAAAAAATAAATAAAAATAAAACTTTTGAGGTTTGGCTATATAATCGTGCTAGATTATGGCAGCCAATGAAGGGTGTTGAAATATTATAATCCGGTGATATAGAATGATCATGTCGTGAACAGCCGTTAATCAACCGGATCACATGACTGAGGTAATTTCGTTGAATCTGCTCATGTATTATAGTTACAATACTTTATCAAACGGGCTCTGCGTTAAGGTCAAACGAATTGAATCCATTCCACAACGATAAATAAATCTCTTGTTGAAAGATGATTTAAGTATTGAACAGTTTTTCTTTGGCCATGACCTGTCAGCATTATTCGAGCACGCGCAGTAGCAAACCAGGTGTGTGTGATGTAAGAAACTTATCTCTTGATTAGACTACGAAGATAGATATAGTACTAATAAAACATCAAACAAGCGCCTTAAAATTAGGTACCTATCATAAAACTTTAGCTTAGGTGTTATGAGATATCTTAATAATTTTATCACTTAGCTATACGATAATAGAATATCAGTTTCTTAAAGATAAAATGGTTACGAATAGTGGGTGTCACCTTAACGAAAATAAATTTTTATTTGACTGACGTGCCAATGAAAAGTCTTGTATTAAAAATATTGAAGTTCGAAAAAAATGTACTGTGGTTCTATTTGTAGGATGAAGGTAATAAAAAAAACATAGGTAGTTATTAAAAACACTTAAAATATTATCTATTGACACAAACATTTCATTAGCAGTTTGGTGAAGTGTGTGTTATAAACAATCAATCGGGCAATCATCGAGATAACAAATGTTTACTTTTACGTAATCTATTGGGAACTCGAGACCGGTACAAGCACGGTTGCTAGGTATACTAGAACGCGTCGCGACGCGAGGCCAAACCGCCCGCCACCCACTGATTGTGGCGGAGCCAATAACTGCAATCTGTCCGCAGTATAGACCGAGATGTTGTTAATTTAGTCGTGTTTCGCCGCGACGCAGCGTAGTGCATTACGAAGTGTCTGGCTCTAGTCTAGCGTCAATTCCTCATTTTTGTGACGAAAGGCAAATTAAAGAAATTTTCACTGAAACTTACTTAAACGTCATGGCAGAAAAAGCATTTATATTGGGAATAGACATCGGAACTACTTCCGTAAAAGTTTGTGTTTACGATCCTCAATCAAAAGAAGTTGTTGCTAAACAAACAAAGGATACAGCAGCAAACATACCGAGCGATCAAGGGATAGAGGGCAACAAACAGGATGTTCCGAAAATAGTTTCAGCACTTCATTATTGTGTGTCACGTCTTCCGAGGGATGTTTTACGACATATTAAAAGTATAGGGGTTTGTGGTCAAATGCATGGAGTTGTTCTTTGGAGAGATGGGTATGAATAATAATTTTTATTTACATAAAATTCAATATGTTGCTATTTAATTTAATTTTTTGATTATTCTTTCAGAGCATGGGAAAAAGTTGAAAAAGATAATGTGGTTATTCGTTTAGAAGCAGTTAGAAATAATATGTCTGCTCTGTATACTTGGCAGGATACAAGATGCAAACCTGAGTTTCTGGAATCACTTCCGAAACCGAACTCACGCCAAAAATGTTATTCGGGATATGGATGCGCTACCTTGTTATGGATGTTAAAGCACAAACCGGATAAACTTAAAAACTACACATATGCTGCTACTGTACAAGACTTCGTCGTGGCTATGTTGTGTGGCTTGCAAAAACCAATAATGTCAGATCAAAATGCTGCCAGCTGGGGATATTATAACACAGAATTGAATGAATGGAATGTTGACATATTAAAATCTATTGATTTTCCTGTACCATTATTGCCTGATGTTGTTAAAAGTGGAGAATTTGTGGGTAAACTGGTTAATCCATGGAGTGGAATACCTGAAGGGACACCTGTAGGTGCTGCTTTAGGAGACTTGCAATGCTCAATACTTGCTACATTGGAAAGCGATCAAGATGCTGTTCTTAACATCTCTACTTCAGCTCAATTGGCTATTGTGGTAAAGAATATGTCTGACTTGGGCTTTAGCACAATTGAGCATTTACCATATTTTAATAACAATTATTTAGTTGTAGCAGCTTCATTAAATGGTGGTAATGTTCTCGCTACATTTGTGAAAATGCTTCAGCAGTGGATGTTAGAGTTTGGGTTTCCAATCCCTCAATCTAAAGTATGGGAGAAATTGATATCTCTTGGGTTAGCAGCACCAGCACCAACTTCATCAATGAAGATATCTCCCTATTTGTTAGGAGAAAGACATATGCCGTCTGCTAAGGTAGCTGTAGAGAATATTGACCTATCAAACATCCAATTAGGACATGTATTTAGGTCTCTTTGTGATAGTTTAATTGAGAACTTGCATCAAATGATGCCAAAGGAAGTTTTGCTGAATGCAAAAATAAAAAGGATTGTCGGCAATGGTTCAGGTTTATCCAGAAATGCGGTATTACAAAGAGCTGTAGAACAGTATTACAGTCTACCCTTAGAGTTTACATGTGGAGGAGATGCAGCAAAAGGGGCCGCAATAGCTGTTATATAGGAATGTGAAATATTGCCTATGCCAAATTTTATACAAATTACATGGTTAATCAGGATATAATGATTAACTCACATTTACAAGTATATATTTTGAGATTTTTTTACATACTTGGTTGTTAAATCACATAGTTTGTAGACAATAACAAATATCTGCTTGGGGCACACTGTATTGACCAATTTTTTAATGTAGAAGAACATGATCATTATGCTGTAGTAATGATGTTATAATGCTTTACATTTGTAATATTTAACCTGGTTGTTTATAGGTGTAGGACTTCCAGCAGGACTATTTAGGTTAATAACATCTAACTTGGACCACTAAATATTAAATGTTTTACAAGATTCCCTAAAGAGATAATCTCAATATTAAATTTTAAAAGTAAGTTCTGAAACTCGCAGTTACAATAGTTCCAAAAAGAGATGTTGATGCTTCCACTTTTTTTATAGTAATAGAATGGGCCAACATTCCACATTGACAAGCACTAAATGTAATTGATGTCCCTGAGTATGGCCTTTGCTTTAGCTGTATTTGCTATGCTTTTGCCACAAAATAATGGTGCTGTCAAAATTAATTCTTTTATTAGGCTCTGAGTTTTGAGACAAGTACTTATTATTATAAGAATACATAAATTTAAATATCTAATAGAAAAGATGCTCGATGCAAAATTAAATGCCTACTGCAATTAACAGAATTAAGAGAATTTCAAATAAATCAATAATAATAAAATCTTAATAGTTGGCATTCATACTGTGCTAGAATTTCAATTTGAGAATTTAGTTTAATACCATTAGACTCGAAAGTTGTTCCATTATGATTAAGTAATATTATCAATTATGAAAAAATGTAACTTATTATGCACAGTATTATACTACTAATAGATTATTGCCGAATTTATTGTTATTATTAGTAAAATTAAATGTTATATAAGTAAATGTACAATACTGTGTTATTTATTATAAAATGGTTATTGAAACACGAAATAGTTGGGTCTTATTTATTTATTTAAAAAAAGTTGTTTTATTTTATATACATTTTTTTTAAATAAACTGTACTACGGTTAGGTTAGTGTTATGACCATAACGGGCCAGCCGAGCGAGCGAAGCGAGCTTGCCGCGGCAGCGGCCGGCGAAGCGCCAGAAAAAAACATTGTTTTAAGAGACCTTTTCTACAAAAAGTTCGAGTATCACCTCTTGGGCCCTGATAGTGCAGTTCTACCAATCTTATCTCTATAATCTGATATAAACATATAGAATTCTCGTGTGTTTGTAACAACCGATTCCTATGAAAATTTGTATGCTTAGATTTAAGAATAGGACGAACACTGTCTAATAACACATCGTATTAAATATAAAAGAACTTATAACAGATTTAGAAATCATTTCCTGACTGCAATTTTTTTAATTGACCGAACTACAAACTGATTTCCAGTTTCATTTGATTTTGTTACCACTTACCAGTAATGTTAAACTTTTATTCTTTTGCCATTCACATTTAAATTAAATCACCTTTGTAGCGTTAACATGCACAAATTGCAAACTAAAGTAGTTAATACCTAATTAATGTATGTAGTGCCAAAAAAAGGAAATAATTTTAGCTACAGTTTAGTAACTTTCAAGAAACAAAATTATTGTGTATTTACAAAAAATTTTAGGTTATGTGGTTATGTTTCTTTTTTAGTTTCTTTACCCATTTTGGGAAGGCAAAGGGTACTGTGCCCATACAGCCAACTCTTTAGTTTATTATTTCAAAATGAAATATGTTGTAAATAATAAATGCTGTGCTGTATTTCTTTTTTCTTGTGGTTATATCCACAATTCCACAGATTACCTATATTTACGGATCTTTCCTATGTCTATGGATCATTCGATACACGTAAATACTACCTACACTTGTACTTTGTGTAGGTACTCGATACTTTTATCTCGATACCAAGTACTTTTGGTATCGAATCAATCAATATAACGATACTTACTCGGTATCGAAAAAGAAGTACTTAGTTTTTAATCGGATATTTTAATTAGAATTCACCCTGAATCCACCAATATAACACGAAAATTTCTGAACGCATCTGTGGAACAAATCAGAATAAAATTATCTCTCTCGCTGAATAATTCTTCTGCTAAAATTCCTAAAATACTCATTATCACAATAATCAGCCGATGGACGTTCACTGCTGGTCATAGAAGGATGTCTATCCCTAGAGGATTCTAGGGATCTCCACTTCTCCAGTAATACTAATATGATAAAAATTTTGATAAATTAAGAAAAATATATTTGTAATAAAATAATTAAATAACGTTTTCTTACTCGCATGCATTAGCGCGAGTGAACCTGTATGTCAGCCGGCCGCCATATTGTTTGTTGTGACTGCGCTGCTGCTGCTTTGTTCTAAAAGATAATTTAATACTGCATGTGTTTTTGTTGTAATTATTAATAAAAGATTATTCTCATTTCAATTATATATTTTTATTTTAACAACAACTAGGTACTTAAATGTAATCATTAAATATCAAAATACGAATAATAACAAAAAAATGGGTGCGTATACTTATGTAGGCGCGTGAGAAGTTATCCTTCTTTGGCATCGTTTAAAATTAGTTTTTAATTGCATGCAAATAATTAATTAAAATAAATTAATAAAAAGTCTGGAAAAGGACACAGTCAATAAAGTTCAGTTATAATTTGAAAAAATAAATAAATAATCAAAATTTTCAATTAAAATCGCTACTGAATATAATTTATTAGAACATAATTATGTGATTTGCACTTGTATGAAACTCAAACACGTATTCCGAATATACAAACTAGAAACATGTGGATAAATATTATAAATATGAATACCTATAACTGTTACTTTATTACAAAAAATAAAGATGTGGTTTTTGGTTCTACTACACCAATGGTCAAGAGATGGCGCTGTAGTCTCCTGAATCGCGCTTTGGTTCCGTTGTTCCAGATTAATAAATACTTTTGATAGGCCTTCACAATGCAGTCGTTAGCACCCACTAAATAGAGATTCTATTTCTATTTTGTTGGTAGATTTCCTTAATGTGCGGTAAACACAAAAGTAACGCATGAAGTTGGTCGCTAAAGCGACCAACTTCATGCTGTTAAAATTTTGTGTTACAATGATGCGCACGCATCTTAAAATTTCACTCTCATAATTTTTTCATAACGCGCCTAAAGAAGTATAACTTCAATAAAGTCCCAATACTTAACATAATTCAAAAATATATTAAAATTATCCAATTTAAGTACTACTCATATAAAAATAGGTAACGATACCTTGGGGGTATCGAACATCCCTACCACAGATTCCTACCTAAGGGTACGGCCACAGTGCACGCTGGTTCAGAATCAGGTTCAGACTCAGAAAACAGGCTTGTTAGATGTCAGCTTGAGGAAAGCAGATGATGGCCGCAGTGGAGGCAGATAATACAAGACGCGGATGCGAGCATTGATGCCAGATTGGAGGGATTCCCCCCAAATTTGGGGGGGTTTAAAGCGATGAGGGGAAAATATTTTTGGGGGGATTAATATGGGGGAAAATTTTCAGACATCTGTTTGTTTCTCTGTTTGATGGTTGCATCACAATACATATATGACAACTTATGTTTGTAAAAAAAAATATTAATTTATTTACTTAAAATAGTGAAATACATACACATAATACTAGAAGTAAAAATAAATTAATTTTACCTGCTACTAGGCTCCACTAAATCAATAATTCGTTTAGAGGCCTTTGTGTTCGCTTTTACAATAAAGTTCCAAGCAATATTATTTATTTATTAAGGACAGCCAACAAAAAAACACCAAATAAAAGTACAAACTGAGAAAGAAATAAAGAAAACAATTCATAGTGCTGCCTTACTTAAAGGCTGCGCATCTCAGTGGCATGCGTAAAAAAATTACTTAAGAAGTAGACTTATGATAAACAAAATAAGGGAATCTAGTGCAAACACTTCAAAAATACAAAACTAAATATTAGGTACATATTCATATCCATTCTGACATCATTCTACAGACCCAAAAACAGATCCAACACCAGTCCCTCACTTGCACTCTGTATTGAGAATGACAAGGATATACTGCCGCCTAATCCAAGTCTAGGCCTAGAGAACGCTGCCAGAATCGACGCCGTTGTGGTGGTATGCTTAACAATAATATTATTTGATCTATGTGGGTACAAAGGGGTCTAAAAGAGCAGACTTAAATTTGCGAAGAGAAGAAGACATGTCTATATCACTGTGTTTGGATGAATCGGCCAGCGTACGTGATAGTGTGTTATATTGTGACTGAAGTCTATTAATGGTACAAAAATGACCAAGGTTAGTTCTGGAAGCCCCTGCTCGGAAAGGTGCATAAAGTCAAGGACGAACAGATTCATATGGGATATTAAAGTTAATCTGCGCTAACAAGTGTGAGCAATCTAAGTGACCATTTAGTAATTTGAAAAAGAAAATGTGACCATGCATTTTACGTCGATTTTCGAGACTGTTAAGCTTAAAGTGAATCAGACGCGATCTGTATGTGGGTAGTTGTTTGGACAAGTAGTGTTTATAAGTTAAGTCCCCCAAGAATATTTTTAATATGGATTCAATACGTTGTTTATGAACCTCGTAATATGGTGTCCAAATCACACTGCAGTATTCTAAGCCAGATCTAACCAAGGGTTTGAAAACTGCTATTTTGCTTGAGGCTTGTCTAAATTCCTTGCAATTTCGTAATGCAAATCCCAAAAGCTTAAAGCTCTTTTTAGTAATTTTGTCTATATGTATATGAAAACGAAGTTTTTGATCCATGAATACACCCAAATCACGAATAACGTCCACTTCTCCGATAATATCATTATTTATTTTATAGGTATTAAAGTAAGGAGATTTTCTCCGAGAGAAGTGTATAAAGCTACATTTTGAAACGTTGAGTTTCATGGAATTTACTTTGCACCAGGAAGAGAAACGGTCGAGATCTTTCTGAAGGAGTATAGGATCATTAACATTATCAATTAACTTGACGATTTTTAGGTCATCTGCATATAAGTGTATTTCAGAATTCAGAAAGCAGGAAGCTACGTCATTAATGAACGCGTTAAAGAATAAAGGTCCCAAGTGTGATCCCTGTGGGACTCCAGAAGCTATCAAAAATGACGAAGATATGAAACCATTCAATACTACTCTGGAGGATCGTTCAGTCAGGTATGATTCACACCAGTTGAGAAGGTTACCGAAGATACCGTAGCGAAATAACTTAGAGACGAGAGTTTTGTGGTCAACCTTGTCGAACGCTCGGCTGAAATCCGTGTAGATGACGTCAACAGGCGTACCATGGTGGTCCACAGCTGCCACCAAATCAGACACGAAACCCGCCAGATTTGTTACTGTAGAACGCGACCTAATAAAGCCATGTTGTTGTGGTAGTAAAATATTCGTAAAATGTCAGGCCAAAAACGGATGTACCAGCACCTCAAAGACCTTCCCGAAAATTGATAACAATGAGATAGGACGGTAGTTAAATATTTTTTTTTTCCAACACACACACCAATTAGCCTAGCCCCAAAGTAAGCACTATAAGGCTTATGTTATGGGATACTAGGGTAACGGATAGAATACATATAGTGGTGTCGATTCTGACATGATTCTCTAAACTTAAACTTAAATTTGACATCACTGTATCCTTGTCATTCTCTATACAGAATGAAAAGGAGAGAGTGACGTTAAGTTTTAAGTTTAGAGAATCATGCCAGAATCGATACCACTGTACATATATAAGTATATTTATATAGAAATACATATTAAACATCCATGGCTGGAGTACAAATGCACGTATTCATTACACAAACATCTGCCCCCACCGGGATTCGAACCCGGGACCTCTCGAGTCGGCAACACCATGAAACCCAGCGTACAAACCACTCGGCCACGGAGGTCGTCGAGTTATTTACTGAAGTCTTGTCTCCAGATTTATATACAGGTACAATTAAGGCTTCTTTCCATGTGGAGGGAAAGATACCTGTTCTAAGCGATTTGTTATAAATCAGGGAAAGAGGTTCGGCAAGGACTTCATGGCAAGAGGCAACAAAAGAAGACGGGAGTCCATCAGAACCTGCACCCTTACGTGGGTCAAGTGCCTTCAGTGCTTTTTCGACCATGCCTGTGGTTATGGTGACGTCGTGTAAGGTCTGAGATCCAGAGGCGTCATGGACAAGTGAGCATGTAGCGTTCATATTCGCACTATTAAAATCGCAGTCATAAACAGATGAGAAACATGAGGCGAAGGCATTACAGATCTTATCGTGGGAGAGCCACACAGTAGCTTAGGCTACTGCATGAATGGGCCGGCTCGACCGGAGGAATACCACGACCTCACAGAATACCGGCGTAAAGCAGTACTTTGTGCTGTGTTTCGCCGAGTGAGTGAGGCTACCGGAGGCCCAACCCCCCCCCCCCCCCTTTTTCCTCATGATGGCGCAGTTAAATAG